GGGGGGGGCTATTACAATAAGGAAAAGAATATGACACAAGGAAGAGGGCAGTCAAGAAAAGGGAGGCGTTGTTCAAACGTTGCAAAACTTGCTTTTGATTTGCCTGACTAAGCTCACGAAAGCTAAGGGGGGTATAACTATGAATGTACGAGAAAACAGAAAGGAGGCTAGATGCTCGCTGCGGGATGGACACACAGGCCCCTAGACTCTTTTGCCCTGCTTCAGCAGGTCGCCGACCTTGGGTGGCAAGACCAAAGCACTCCTGTCGTTCCGCCTGTAAAAGTCCACGATGGCCAGCGCCGTCTTCTCGGGGAGGTCCTCTTGGATGAAGTGTCCGGCCTCTGGGAACACTTGCAACGCGTACTTGCCTGGAATCTGGATGTCAGTCTCTTTTTAAGACAAAAAAAGAAACCTTACCGGTGAACAAGAAGATAAAAGAAAAGTTGCAGTCGACTTACCCTGCATCTGACCGATTGTCAACTCTGTGTCTAACCTATCCGTGCCCGCCAGCAGAAGCAGTTTCCCACCTCTCGCCTCGAGGAACTTTTTGCTCAAGCCAACGAACCAGCCTTCCCAGAATGGTTGCGTCGCCGCCAGATCCGTTCGCCATCTCCAAGGCCTCGTCGGATCGATGGAGTCGTCATATACCAAGAGCGCCGGCACCGACGTCCGCGCCGACACCGAGTTGCGGACGGTGCGCGAGCGGATATGCCAGTCGATGCCGGACTGTAAGCTGGCGAAGCCGGTAGGCCGCGTCGAGAGGTACGTGAGCATGCTTTGCAGAGCATCCATCGCCGAGCCCTCCACCACGTCCAGGACTCCGTATCCGAGCAGAGAATTACCCAGCTTGCCCGACTTGGCCAGATCCGTGACGACGGCGCCGCCCAGCGAGTGGCCGATGAGTATGACGGGAGGGAGCTCCGGCCAAGACATCTGCGTCTTTGTCAGTTGGATGACGCTAAACAGGTCCTCCGTCAGGACATCCAGCTTGAGGTCGAGCTCGGTGCCATCCGTGATAACTGTCGAACCGTGGCCGCGCGCATCCGGAGATAGGATGCCGGCCGAAGGGAGGCGTTTCCTAATCTCGGACGAGAGGGCCGCGAACGAGAGGCCAGAAGAGCCGGCGCCGTGGTGCATGACGAAGAGGGGACCCTTTCCGACAGGGGAATTGAGGTAGGCATGATACGTCACGGTGGCAGAGCCATCGTCTCCGACCTTGGGCTTCAGAAGTAATTCTCGTTCAAAGTAGGTCGTCCAAGGGATTTGCTCCAGCGTGCGGCCCCTCGACACACTGGAAAGCGGAAATTAGCGTTCAAGCGCAAACCGCAACATGCTCTCTCTCTCTTTTCTCGCCACTGGTCAATAAAGAACAGAAAGAGAGGGGGGGCAACAGAGGCCAAAAAAAAAAAAAACACAACAAAAAAGAGGGGGCGCCCCGCGCCGGCGCGGCGCGCATAGGGGGGGGGGGGGGGGGGGGGGGGGGGGGGGGGGGGGGGGGGGGGGGGGGGGGGGGGGGGGGGGGGACAACAGGGGAAAAAAAAAAAAAAAAAAAAAAAAAAAAAAGGTTACGATACCCTTGCGGCCGAGCAAACAGGTTCTGACTCGGAGACGGAATAATGGTGCCGGTAGAAGAAGCGGACGAGGCGGACGAGGCCGAAGAGGAATCTCCGTCGTCCATGTGCTCCGGCAACTCGGGGAGCTGATCGGTCTCGGGTTCCTCGTCGAGGTCGTTGAGGGGCTCCGGCAGAGGATGCATGGGGTCGAGTTTCCTCTTGGCCCAAGCTCTTTGCAACTCGCTCATTTTGGGGCGGGCTGTTGTCCTTCACACTGCCAACTTGAACGATTGGATGGTGTTGTCTTTCCCCTGTGCCTATTGCCTGTGCCTATGCCTGTGCCTGTGCCTCTGCCTTGAGAGTAAGGAGAATTTTGGCGCGACGTCCGTTTGTGCGCTGCTGGCGGTCGCCGACCAGCCGGGATGCCAAGCCTTGCAGATGTAGGAAAGGAAAGACGGAGGAGGCAAGAGATCAGAGACGATCTGGGCCGTGTAACTGGGACGGCGGCAAGATGAGGCCTCTTATATGGGGCGGAAGAAACGAATGCAGAGCAAGACTAGAGCCGCCAACTTTGAGTGAAGTTGAATGCTGTGAGACCAAGTTTGAGAGGCAGGTGCCGTCGTGGGGATGACGTTCAGTGGGGTGATGAGGGGCAGCTCCATTCATTCGCACTGTTCAGTATAGGGGTTATTGGCAGTTATATACAGTGCGTTATAGTTTTCATTCGCACTCGCCGGCCAAATGGAGGCAATCGGACCCCAAAAACTTCGCAGAAAAGAAAGTGGCCATCCCCTTCTGCCATGGGGATGGACTCCTTCCTCACCGGCACAACAAAGGCGAAGATGTTTGATCAGCATGTATGTCCGTTCAGCCACCTCGGACCTCTTCTTCCATCAGAAATGATACAACAATCGTCATTTACCGGCGTCATCTACCACGGTCGAAACACTCCCAGAGTCAAACCATTCAAAATCACGTCACTCGCCCATTACTCAAATCCAACGTCACTCAACGGCCACACATCTCATATTAATTTGCGTCCCATTTGTAGGTATATACTTATCCAAGGCCCATTCCTCCGCTATGCAAACCCTCCACCTTTTGAACCCCAACGAAGAAGATACCTTGCGGTCGTAAACGTTTATATCCCCACAGGGGACATGGAGCTTTGTGGTTGTGTATGGTTATAACGACTGCATAAGAGGGTCCCTCCTTTTCCTCTTCCCCTTTCCAACAAAAAGGCAAAAAGAATGAGAAACACTGAGAGGCAGCCGTTCATATCATCATGACCATTGGTATTTGCAGGGTGGTAAAACGTTGTTGTGTATCCGTAGATGTGCTGAGAGCGAAAAAAAAAAGGAGAAAGACGGACAAAGGATGAGCAGACCCAAGGAAATAAATTGTTTGAAAATATAAAATAAGAAATAAGGAAAGGAAAAGTAAATAGGATATAAAGTGGCTTCCTTTCTGGAATCTCTGTGAAAAGCCAAGAGAGAGATCCATATGTCATACATTCCACAATTCTATGTTCATTGTCATTCCAACAGGTACACACACCAGTCAAGGCGTCTCCCTCCCGATTTTTTCAGCTTTTCTTTCAGTGATACACACCCCGGTAACCGCCTCCACCATAAGCGCCGTGGTGGTTATTGTTGTTGTAGTCGCCGCCCACATTGGGCAGTGTCGGCGCCCTGTCGGCGATTGGTGCCGCGCCGAGGACAAGGTTCTCACGGCTTTGGTCGTACTGGGCGTTGCCGTAGGGCGTGTTTGAGGCCAGAGGGCGATAGGGAGCGTTGCCCGCGGCGCCCATATAGTGATCGGGAGACTCTGGACGATGGTCCTTCTTCTCGGGGACGCTCGACATGGAGAAAGTGGTACCGGCCTCGGGATCCTTGCGGTCCATGAGGAGGGAGTTGCGGGCGTCCAAGGGCGTAAGGGTGTCCATGTCGCGCTGCATCTTCTCTGTAGAGGTGGGGGTCAGCAACATGATAATCGAGTAGCGCGGAAATAAACTTACCCATCTCCTTTCTGCGCTTGCGGTGGGGGTTCTCCTTGCAGCAGGCGTTGATCGCGTTCCACATAATCAGAAGAGCGAGAACGCCGGTCAGGGCGGACTGGACGGCAATCAAGGCGACACCAGTGATGGTCTGAGTGGTCTGTGGAATGCCAAATTCATCAACAAAGACGAGAATGCAGGCAACAGAGAGGACACGGACGACCTGGATGGTGATGTTGATGACGTTGCCCGACTTGCGCTCAAAGGGACGGCTCCACAGCAGGAGGCAAAGCATGAGACCCTCAACGACAAGCTGGGCAGACGTCTGAGCCATGCCATGACCATCGCCAGCGGCGAGAATGCAACCCTTGGCGAACAAGTAGATGATGACGGGGACGAAGATCCACCAGTAGTCCTTCTTATAGGATTCGTAGAAGAGGCTGTACTTCATCCAGTTGTTCTTGTCATCGTAGAGACCACTAACGTCGCCCTCGGCCTGCTTCAGCTGGCGAGCAGTGTTCCAAATCTTGTAAGAGAAGAAGGCGAGGATGCCCGTAAAAATAGCGAGACTGACACCAGCAAGGACCTTCGCAGCCCAGGAGTCTCCGTTGGTAAACTGGAAAATGCAGTACAAGACCCAGATACCGTAGAGCAACATGATGAGCGAGGTGATGGCGCGGGCAATGGATCCCCAGTAGTGCTCGCGGAATCCGGCAAGAGCCTTGGGGAAGTTACCGAAAAGGGCCCAGAATTCCAAAATGACCTTGACGAGGAGAATTCCGACAATGATGGCGGCAATAACGATGGCGACGATGAGAAGAACGGTCATGAAGGTGTTGGACTTGGGGACACTAAGGGTGTTGACAAAGGCAGTGATACCCTGGACCTTCTGCTTGATGCTCGTGATGGGGTCGTCAGAGTCGCCGCTGGTGGTTCCGTTGACGCTGGTCTCAATCTCTCTAAGGACGAGGGCTTGGAATGTCTCGGCGGCACGCTTGGCCTTGAAGAGGGAGCTGCCACCATCGACGGTGGAGCCATCGGCGAGAATGAGAGTGCTGTTCTTGAGGACCTCAACGCTGTCCTTGCTCAGATCACCGCCGGTTGCACCGCGGAAGTTGTCAATGGCGATCTGCATGTCGGTCCAGGGAATGATGCCGCAAGAGAAACCAAAGTTCTTGGCGAAGCTGCTGTAGACGGGTGGGTAGCTGACCGAAAGCATACCGTTCATGGCCATGCCTTGGAACCATCCAAAAACTTCGGTGAAACTGGGACTGATCGTCCCCGCACCACCAGTGCCGCTGCCACTGAGAGCGGCGCTGCCTCCAGCGAAAGCAGAGCTGGCTGCAGACACACCGGTGGCGACGAGAGCGAGACCCGCAACACCAGCAGCGATGTAAGAGACGGCGGCAACACTAGCTGTCTTACCGTTGGTGACCTGGGACGTAATGCAGGCGACCTCCTCATTCGTGTCGAGGGTCTTGAGCTGAAGCTTGGCCTGGGCGGCAATATCGGGGACTGCGAAGGCGATAGCGGGAACCATGCTGGCATACTGATCAGGAATCTTCTGAGTGCCACGAGCAGAGAAGCTGCCGGCGGGGACTGGAACTTGTTAGCATCTTCATGCCGAGACGTCAACTCATGCAGAGCCGGCACATACCAGGGCAGAGCTGTTCGACAAAGGTTCCTGCTTCGCATGGGTTGAAGGTCTTGGAGTAGATGGCGGTGCCGTAGGCGCTGACATCCAAGATGGCCGTGACGTTCTGGACCTTGGAGCTCGTTCCTGCTACATCAAAGGTGACGGTCTTGTTGTCGTTGTTGTATTGAATGTCGATCTTCTGGACGGTGATCGCGGTATCGTTACCGCAGGTCGTGAAGCTGCTTGTCTTGAGGATTGAGTCGGCGAGGGTGCTTGAAGCAAAGGCGGTGGCCAAGGCCAGAAGCCTCTTAGGGCCCCAATTGGGCGCGGTTCGCGTCATTTTATTTGTGTTGAGAAATTTGTGGTAGGAAAATCGTTGTTCGTCGTTCTATCGGGAATCGAAAGTGTTCCCAAAAGCCGTGTGATGGTGGGTATATCCAATGTCTATGCTTTTTGAGCCTCTTTGTGCTTCTTTCTCCTGTACTCCCAGCGAGTGATGCCGTCCCTTTCCCAACTGTAATAGGTTGATACGCTTTGATAGAGAGTTTGGTGGTGAGAGAGGGTTCCGTGTTCGTCGGGGACCAGGTTGAGAGCTTTCTTTGGTGAATCGATTGATACTATTCGAGGAGTCGTCGTCGCGTCGGGAGGGTATATTGCGAGAGTCGTGGACCAAAGAAAACAAACAACTGCCGTGTACTAGTAGAGTAGAAGGATTGTGAAATGGCAAGAGGCCAACAAGAAGCAAGCACAGCTTTCTACAGAATGGTACGAGAGATGAAATAAAAAGAGGCCGAGGATCAACCTGGAAAGAAGGGGAATAAGGGCTGGCAGCGAGGTGCCTTTGCAGAGCCCGGAGGGTGTCGATGGGATGAGCCCGTATAAGGCCTCTTGTAAGCCGAAAGAGATGGATCAGCGGAAGCCGGTCGAGAACCTATGTTGAGAAGTGGGTGTCGGAGGTTATGATAGTTCGAGAGAGTGTTGGAGTGAGAGAGAGTTTCTTCAACAGCCAGACAGGCGAAGACAGAGAGAGACAGTGGCTGAAAAAAAGAGGCTAAAGTCCACGGGCGGGTATATGAAACGAGCGAAAGGTGACGATGCTGAGAATGCACGCCGGTCAGGAGGTGGTGGTGGAGTGGGAGGAGGGAGGAGGGAACAGAGTCAAGACGCAGGAAGAGACACAGGAGGAAAAGGAACGACACGAACGGGCGAGAAGGGGAAGCGATTGGCGATCGATGGTTGGCGGGAGATGGGGCCCCAAGCCTGGAAGCGACCTCAGCGTCGTCTGTTCTCGTCCACGGGCCCCCCATGCCAAAAGGGACATGGACCCTGGGATGGCGTGCGGATTGGTGTGGACGGGGGCAACGTACCTTACGCACACCACACACATGAACAACGAACGGTACGAACAATCTGGACGGTCTCCGGTTCTGCTGCTATGTGAAAGCAAAGCAGCGTCTCTAGTCCTCGCCTCCTCCCATTGGGACAAGACGGGGAGAGGAACCATCTGTGGGAGGTCGTGTTCAACACCCTGGTCGCCTCCACCGGGCGCAAGTTCGATTGGAACCTCGTCCCTGACACGATCCTTGCCTCGTCCAGGCACCTCCAAAGGCTCCAAAGGCTCCAAAGGAACGTCAACCAGCCGGAAGGCCGTCGACCCCGGTCAAGAGCGTCTCTGCCCTTGCACTGGTTCATATATCCAGTAATAGCCCAAGGATTGGGTCGACCCACGCGGCGACGCTGACGAACTGGGTCCTTGGTTGGGTCCCCACTGGAGCCCAGCGCGGCCACACCAGCCCATCATCTCCTCCCGTTCCTGATTTCCTCAGTGTGTCTGGGGAAGTATCTGCCATGGCGCCAGACTGGCCGCGGCACTGACATTAGCATGCCATGGTGCGGCTTGCTTGTCGCCGATTCCATCTCTCTTGACCGTTCAACGGGGCAAGGCGTATATTGTGGTAGGCAGTGGTGGCGGGCGGCTACTGCGAGGAAGAGGGGGCGGGTGATGAATACGACCGGTAGAATGGTAGAGCTCAGCTTACTACTCCATACGTATGTAGTGAGGTAATACGGATAAGGCACGTTAGTTTAGGTCTTATGCTAAAAAAGCAGTACGTACCGGGCCTTGCTGCAGACGCAGAGGCAGAGTGAAAACAGACGGCGGCGCAAGGTCTCGCGAGCAAACCCAGACGAAAAAAAGTCGAAGACGGCACCCCATCTGAGCCCCCCGCTGGCATCTGTCTAGACCGGCCGCGGCGTCGTTTGGTCGACCAGTCCAGACTGGCCCGTCATGGTCAGAGTCCTTGCTGGTGCGAGGAAACAAGAGATTGAGGGTCCGGGATTGGAGCAAGGAACAATTTGCCTGGAAGCGTAATGTGTGATGAGTGACGATACTGTACGTACCTACAAGCGACCTCAAAGTACCTTGGGTAGGTACCACCTTACATAAGGCGCTGTACTTTCCTCCATCAATCACGCAGAGATGGGACCTGCCTGACCTTCCCGCCTGCGATCAAATTACCGTTGGGCAGGGTGGCAGTAAGGAAGGTGGTTGAGTCCCAGCTTGCAATTTACACACAGCTTACCAACGGATACGGCATACAATGTAGTACGGAGCATTTCCACGGCTATGAGGCCTGGCATGCCTTCTGCGTACGGACTAAACCGTCAGGCAAAAGGTTCAACTATCCATCTGTACGAATACTTTATCCGCCGTGCCATGTCGAATGTGTGAACACCGAGTTCACCTTACATAAATGAACACGGTTCGCCCATTCTTTCTTGTGGAGTCTGAACCAATGCCTCGAGGAGGAGCAGGTCTCGGCAATTCCGCTTTGGATCAGAGACACCGAGAGACACTGCTTTGAATCATGAACATTCTCCAGTAATCCAACCTTCTCCAGCCTTTCCTACCGTCCATGGTCTTTGTCTTGTCGTCAGAAGGCCAGTCATTGTTGCCCGGCGACTTGGGTCAGCACTCAGCAGTGGTCAGCGACTACGCTGTCCTCCAGATAGGAGAGCAAAATTCTGGGACTCAGGGGCAAGCAAAAAGAAGGAGAAAAGCTAGTATCCGTCGTAGTAAAACGGTACCTTACTGTATGTAATTATACGGTGACGGACAGGCACAACTCGGCATCCTAACCGTCCTGGCCCGCAACAACCGCAGGCCGTCCGCGCCCCTGCATTGGCGTCAGGGGTCCCCGTCAAGGGGCTTAGCCGGAATGGGACTGGTGGATCGTTATGGAGATGGTCGGGACGCCGGACGGCCTCGACTACCAGAACCGGGCTTCCTCTTCCTCTCCTTTTTCTGCCAGGTGGTGAGCCATAGGAATTATTGGTTGTCGTCCGTCGAAGAGGTGCCGCGGCGCTACATGGTACACAGCACTCGCAGAGCAGAGAGGAAAAGAGTGAATGAGATGGTGTGTGCGGAAGCAGGGAAACCCGAACTAAATCGCTCCCTGTCCCTACCCCCGGTCCCGTCTGAAACTGCGCCATCACGGAGAAGGAGAAGCAGCCACATCTTTCACCAATGACATCGTCTTATCTATCATAACTGCCTGCTCTCAGCTGGAGGCGGGTGGGAAATTCTTGAGTGTGGCCGATTCATGGATTCGCTGGAACCATCCAACTTTTTGTACTTCGTCATCGTAGAAACAAAACAGAAAACTCCGTACATACCAATCGGTGGTTTGATCACTTCTTTCCTCTCTAGCCCCCATTGCTGCTGTCTGAGTTGGGCAGAGGGAACAGGAGATGAAAAGCCCAGGCGCTACGGGAAATTTTTGCCGCTACCACGTTGATCAATTCAGGTCGGTCAATCTCGTTGAAGCCTGTCGGGAACCACAGTTTGTCGACGGGGCTCAACCGGCTTTGGGCAACCCTGGTGATGAAGGCAGTCTGTATCCAGGTCGGCGGCACATGAGTAACAATTAGCTGTCGAAAACGGTGCGATTAATCGATTGCGTTGATACCCTATAAGATGAAGAACCCGGATTAAAAATAACCGTCCCTTCCCACCCCAATCTCCCATGCCCCCTCATCTAACTCGCATGTGTCCCCACGTCAGAATCCAAGCCGCGTTGCTTATCCATCATCGCTACCACGCTCATATCACGGTGCTGTGTAAGGGTAACCTCTACAAGATCCGTCATCCTAGGTTCACCTCGGCAACAGACTTTCACTTATACTCAACTTTCTCCCAAGCTTGCAAAGTGGAGGAACGGGAAGAGAGAAAAAGGGCACGGTGATTACAAGATTCGCGGGCACAGCCGCTGCACCTTACTGTTAAGCATGGTCTATGTACCTGTGCGTGAGACGGCCATCTTGAGTTGCGCAATCAGGAGTCAGAGGCAAGATGTTAGAGGCAGGGCAATCCTGATCTTTCACATACGTATCCGTAGTCAGAGTTGAACCTAAAAAAGATGATGACTTGGGTCATCCACTCAACTCCTTCCCATCCCATCTCTCGCGTCCGCCTCCCCACACACCCTTCCCCTCGTCTGCTCACCTGCCATAGGAATGTAAACTACAAAGTACTCACGGGATAGGATGGCCCGTGTTATTGCCCCGGGAGGCCTGCGCCTGCCAAGCCACATTCCAACCCCCCCTCAAAGCTTGCTTGCCATTTCCAACATTCCACTCTGCCCTATCCATACTATGTACTCTGCGCTGGCCCGACTGCCCCTCCATCCGTCCACTGGCTCCCGTCCCGTCAATGAAGAGAGTCCGGGCAACGAGCCAACGCCCAGTCCGTTCCGTGCCGTGCATCTGCCACTCCTGCCGTGCATACGCCACTCCTCCAAGCCGACATATACGCCGTCTCGTCTCATCTTTCTGTGCAGATGCTTCCGTGCTCTGCTCTGGCCTCGGACGGGATGCAAACGCAATGCAAACGACTTACGCCTCAGACAACCCCGGCCAAAACTGCCTAGACGGACGCACCGCCCCCTTGGGCCGCTCTCACTTCAGCTTGTCAGTTTTCTTTTCGTCCGATATCGACGACATGTCAACGTTCGAGGGAATCTCGTCTGCCGAGCACCAAGCAACACCCCTTTTTCTCACACAACCCAAAACCTTGATTCTTTTCCAAGGGCCACCTTTAGTGAAAGGCTACACCCAGTCGATGCCGTCGTCAAACAATCCTGTTTCTTCCCCCTCAATCTCTAAAAATGTCACCGAAACTCCTCGCAACCCCTGATTCACCCCTCTCCTCTCTATCCTCTCTCCCACGTATTAATCTCCCAACGTTGGCACCGTGTGATTGGAAGCACTCTGCCCTGGGGGTTGGGGGGGAGGTTTCATTACCTGTGACCCAGGCCTTCAACCAGCCAAAAAAGTGACTTTCAACACCAATCCAAACTCTGCTTCAAATATCGTGATGTCCAACCAACACCCCCCCCAATCCCAAAATGTCTCGGATGTTTCTTTTCGTGCATGGAGGCCCCCATCAACGGCCTCCCCGGACTCCGTCATTGTCAAGCATCACGCCTTGCTTGCCTTTTCACTGCCAAACATCGCTTTCACTAGGTCCTCCACCACCGTCTACGCTTCTAGCCCCGTACCACGGCCGCGGTATCTGTCCAAACTACCAATTGCCGGGGACGGATGACGACGAGCACAATACTACCTCCCAGCTATACCCTCTGAGCCCCCCCCCCCCACCCCCCCCCCCCCCCCCCCACCCCCACAACCCCCACCCCCCCACACCAACAACCACCCCCCCCACCACCCCCCCCCCCCCCCCCGCCCCCCCCCCCCCCCCCCCCCCCCCCCCCCCAAACAACCGGTAAGTACTAAGATCCAAGACACAATTAGACATGACCTCTCGCTGTGGGAATCAGCCCCGAGAAAGAAGCAATGCAACTGATAAGGCCTCATCCCCGCCATCTTGGACTCGAGGTTTTCGAGATTTTGATTGCTTCTACTCGCACATCTTCAACGAGGGCATCCTTCACCTCTCGAAACCTAGTCCGAGCAGCGCGTTTTACCTTTTCTTTCTTTCTTTCTCCCTCTTTCTTTCTCCCTCCCTCTTTCTCTCTTTCCTTCTCCTTCTTTTGCCTCTTCGTCCTTCATTCTCAGGTTGCCTCTTCCCTCTGACCTGGCGGCTACTTGTACAGTACAGACCCTGGGGAACACGGCCTGGGCAGGCTCCGGTTCACCCTCACATCTCCCACCCAGAACGGAGACCCCCCCCCCCCCCCTCCGCCAAGACGCCAACCAACCACAACGCAGAAGCCGTGATGGAAATAGATTAACAAAATATGAAGAAGCAAAATGGCACGTACAAGAGAATCCCAGCTACCCGGCCCTTTCTTCCCTGCTTTTCTCTACCTTACCGCTATACCTTGCCTCATGCAAGAACGAATAGAAAGAAAGAAAAGAACTCCACGCAGGGAAGAGCAAAGGTACCGACAATCAGGCACCAGATCCAGAATAACCTCCGTCCGTCCCAGGTCCCCGTTGAGACAGGAACCTCCCCCACTCCTTTCAACTTGAACTCTGTCTTCCTTCCCCCCGAGACCTAGCATAAACGTGAAAAGAAGCATTCACTTACACTCATCCCGACCGTCCCGTCCGGCTCGCCACCAACCCAACACGCAAAAACAGGTCCGCCATAATTAAAAACACATCAATGACCACACTACAAACCTGTTCCCGCGGCCCGGGGTAAGAAAGTATTGCGCCTCGTATGAAGCGGGTCCTCCTCAAACCCCCTTGTCCATCCCGAACCACGTTTGACTCTCGAGACTGGTTCGACGCTTTTGCCATGGAAACTGTGGACCCGAACGAAAGCACCAGCTCAATCACGCAGAGTTGGGCAATTTAGGGGGCGGCTTCAACATCCGGGAAGGCGTCCATGGTGCGTCGACAAAGTCGGATAGCTAGTCTCTACGAAGGGCACCCGGGACACATGCGCAAATCTCACGAAAGATCAGAGTAGATAATTTTGCCCGTCCGTATCCGTACCGCTCGTTGAACTTTTCTGGAACATTGACCGACCCAAGATGCTAAAAATGCTTCTCTGGTGGAGACGGAAAGCCTGGTCGCACACAAAAAGGGCATGTCGCGTCCGAGTTCACGCACGCGCGCGCACTGCCGAGCGTCAGGCTGTGTCTATTCCAGCATTTGCATTGGAAGAATTCTCTTTGAGCCACGCCCTATTACCGATAATCTGTTGGTACGCAGATATCCGATTTGCGTCGTTCCAGGTTGGATTATCCGTACCACCACGTGAAGAACATAAATGATATAAAAAGACCTATTACTCCTCATCGACTATCCTCGCACTCATTGCCATCTGTGACGTCTCTAGTCACCATAGTACATGCTCTACATCGTTCAGCTGGTACTATTCCGAGACTCCGTAGACCATCCATATTCTTTCCGTTCCGCCATGAGCATCGTGCTTGCTCCGACGCTGGTGCAGGCCTTCACATCGATATATCGTCAATTGGGTTAAGCCTGGCGTTCGCTTTCCAGATCAAAAGACAAAAACACCGTACTAAATTGCTGTAAAAAGGGTATCTAAATACGCGATAGATTGAACCGAATATTTGACGGTTTCATGATAGACATGCAAATACTGCATGACTTACTGAGGGGGATAGAACCCTGAACCGCCTTGGAGAGGTGAGTGTGAGTATGGTGAGATTGATCCCTGAGAATTGTACTGTCTCTCGTCGATGTTGCTCTGCCCCATGAGTCCATCGTAGATCATACCTACACCAAGCTGCCCAGGCTGGTGTAGTCCCAAGGCGTTGTGATCGAGTGCAGGGAAGGGCTCGGTCTCTTGCGCCAACGACATGTATTGTTGATGCGTTCCCATGTATGAGGCAGCAGGCGCGGCCACATTGTTTGTGCCATGGTATTGGGGGTTGAAGCCCTGGGTTGCTCGGTTGGCCGGCTGCATGCCCATCATGTTCTGCGCAATCGGCTGACCGGTGTTTGGGTATTGGGAAGAGTACATGTAGTCTTGAAACTGAGAGTTGCCCGTGACACCCGAGTACCCGAGAGAGTCCACGTTCTGATATAACCCATTGCTGTTTGTCATCATGGTGTGAGGCTGGTATGACGACTGATTCCCATAGTTTTGATGGGAGGTTTCACTCTCGACAACCGACTCATCTAGGGGGGTCGGCGCATTGAAAGAAGCCCTGGGCGGAGGATCTTGCACAGGACTGATGATGGTGTCTGGCTCCAGCTCCTTGGCCGCGACTAGACTTAGAATAGGCAGACTGATGTGCTCCATGTGCTTGGCCAAGTGGACTGTCAACTTCTTCCACGTTGGGGATTGCTTGCCACAGAACCGACAAGGCTCCTCCTGCGGCCTCTTGGTCGTTTCGTGACGACACTGCTCTACCTTTTGCCATGTAGGATCGAAGCCACCAGCTCGTTTGATGGCGGCCTTGGTCTTGTTCTTTGGTTCGACAAACTTGTGTTCGCGCACGAGATGCTGTAAGAAATTGTCTCGGCGGTAGCACGTGTGTCGGCAGTCCTCAACGTCGCAGGTCCACCATTCTAGATGGCGATGGCCCTCATTCTCGTGGCGTACCCAGTCTGCTTTGCGTTTGAAGATCTTGGGGTCACGACATCTATCCCAAGTGCAAGTGAAAGGCTGTACATCCTCGTGGACGTGCTTCGTCCAGTCAGAGGGTTTCTTGGGCTTCTTCAGCGTGAAACATAGCTGACACTCAAATTCCGCCGGGAGAGATTGCGTAGGCGGCATAGGTATATCCTGTGGGAAGCTGTCCTTCGTAATGACACCCTCCATGGGAGGTGAGTCCCCGTCTCCAGAGTCAGGCCCGGTTGACAAAGGGTCGATGTCTCGCAAATCGCCTCTCTGGTCAAGCAGAACTGGACGACCGCCACGAGCCAGACAGAGCGATTTGCACTCGCAGGCTTGACCCAGTCCAAGGTGCTTCACTTTGGCATTGAGCAGGCTCTTGTAGCGGATAACCTGCTGATGTGCGATCCGGTCAACAAGGTAGGTATTGTTGCTTGCCAGGTCTGGGTTAAGGCGAAGAACATGCTGTTGAAAGCCTGCAAAGTTCGGCGAGACATCCTGGATCAACTTGCTGGATTCAGCATTCATGTCACCATCCTCGTAAAGGTCATCCTCGTCGTCGTCATCGTCATCCTGCTCAACGTTTGTCGAGTTACCCTTTGCCAGGACAGCCACGGGTGGGCCGCCGGTTTTCCTCCACATGCCAACAATGTTTGAGTGTGTCTCTGTTCCGCTAGCCTTTGGTAGATCCGACTTGCTTCTTGGCCGTCGGAGTGTGGTTTTGACCCCAAGGCTTCCAGAGGGACTCTTGGGGGATGTGATAGGTGTACCACCACCGATTGAGCCATTCCGCGCGTGCGTTGTACCAATGGAAGCCACACTGCTGCCCATGGAAATGAGGGCGGTGTTGATACTAGGTGTAGGTGTCTTCTTGGAACCCCAACTACTAGTACGGGCAGTAGGTAGAAGATGAGGCAAACTCTCGCGTTTCTCCATAGGGGGGGGAGCCTCCGACTTGACGACATTATCGCCGTGGGTGCTCCTAGACCGTTTCAGCAATTGGCTGGCACTCGGCCGGCGAACCAAGCCGCGCAAATCCTTAAGGATGCTTGGCCTCCGACCGCCCTCGCCTCTGCTGATGGACAACTTTTTCAACAAGTTTCCACTGGTGACATTCTCGGTGTCCATGTCGATGACGCTGGGCAAACTGCGTCTTCGCGTGCCCCATGTAGCCGCTTTGGAAATGATGGATTCGTTATCCATGCACATTCTGTTGAACTGAGCAATCGCAGCTTGTGAAGATTCGGGCTGGTACCTGTTCGTGCCTGGGCCACTGATAGGGTGAACCACGGGTGAATCAGCCCAGACGCGGTTCGAGTTCATGATATGGAAGTCCGTAGCCGTCATTTCACCGCCGCGAGCTGTGAAGTAAGTTTGCCCAGGTTGATGCCGATTTTCAGTTCGATCGCCAAGATGGATGCCATCTTCCCCGGCCATGGCATCGGGGCTTGCAAGCAGTCTGTTCTCTGCCTGAGAAGATGCTGCGGCTGGGTCGTTGTGTAAGCTACGAGACAGCCACTGATCAACTTCCTGGTTCTTTTCTTCGATCTCGCGGCGAGTCACCATCTCATTTACGCTGGCAACCTCGGTAGACGGTCTACTCGTCGGATCCAATCCCCGGCGGCTAAACGACGAACGCCGTGGGTTGGTGGTGTCAGCGACTGGCCCCTGAGAAGAGATCAAGTCACCGGCGGAGCTGACTCCGCCAGGTGCTGTAGATGAGTTCTCGTCATCTGGAGTGAACGTGCGCTCAATCGACTGTACAGGCTCTGCAGCGTCTTTTCCCCACATGGAGACAGTCACTCGAGGGCTCGAAGCAGTGTTCATGGGGGGAGATGGCACTGCACTGTCCTCGCTGGAACGGCCACTTCCACTGAGATCTGGCGTCAATTGAGAGGTGGATTGTACGGCGAAAGTAGAAATCTGCGGGGGTTGGAACGGCCTTTGTAGCTCCTGAGGTGAGATGGAAAGAGGCAGTCGCTCAGGCACAGACTTGGCGATTGTTCTCATATCGCTGCGCGGTGAAGTTGTGTGCAGCGAGGCCGTTTGTTCAGGGGTCAATGGATATGTATTGGCATCCAGAATTTTGCTTCGCGCCTGGGCAATTGTGGCCTGGCCAAAGCTGTCGGTTCTGTGATCCGAGTCCAAGAAAGAGGGCGTGCCGGCCTCAGTATTGCTGAAGTCGACGCCAAAGAAAGGATCCAGTCCGTCATCCATATCACTGTAGTCGCTCGAATGATACTGACTGAAGTTGGAGATTGACTCGGCTGGGGTATCGTTGTAGTTAGGTGAGACGGAGCTGCTCTGCAACTGGGACGAAGGCGAGAGATGGTTCGGGTCAAACGAAGTGGCAGCCAGTCGTTGTTGACCACTGCTTGGCGGGGAGGGGTTGTGATGATCACTAGCTTGTCCATCGTGGAAGGCTGCGGGAGGTACGGCGTATGTCGAAGCCATGGCGACGACACAACGCACGCGTATATGGGAAAATGCGGTAGAAGCTTATCGTAATGTCTAGGTCGTCTTGATGTTTAGGTGGATCAGGTGAGACGGAAGCAAAGCCGAGGGCGAGACTGCTCCTTGAGAGTTATTAGGAGACAAGCGCTGTCATGTTCTGACTTGAGTTGGCCGAATTGGATGCGATAAAGTGATCAGGCTGAAGGCGGGGATGGGCGACGATGGCGCTGCAGGAAGCAGTCTTGCACCAGTCTGTGGGTGAAGAAAGGCACGAGACTGTCTTGACAAGGCGATGCGACACCAACGAGCGATTTGTGTGAAGGAGAAAAGCAGTCGCCAGCAGGCAAGGGAAAAGCCACAAGAAGTGTATCCCGTCGTGGAGGGCGGCGGCGTTTGGACGGCCTGGTTGTGTTGGTCGTTTCTTCCGTCCAGCGCTTATCCTTGGGATTTCTTGATTGTGTAGTCGTACACGCGCCGTGTGGAACGTGTGGAACGCCTGGGTCAGGCTACAGGAAGCAGGCCAGGTCCTTCGCTGGCTATGAGAGCGTACTGGTATTCAAAGCAAAGAGCTGTTTGCGTCTTCCGGCGATCAGACTGGGTTGCTGTCGTTCGCAGAGAAATATGGCCAAGATGGAGACAGTGGGACGGCGGGAGAACGGGGGGATGCGAGGCGGGATATGCTACAGACTACCCGCGGTTTTGTTTAAAGATGCTCGGGAATCAGGGGTATGCGATGGGGTGTACAAGACTCGATGAGATCATGCAGAGACAGCAGAACGAGGCGGAAGAGAGCCTTGGACCGTCGCTATCGGTTGAATGTGGCAGAGTCGCGAGCCAGAGACGGGAGGAGGAAAGAATGGTTGGTGAAGGAAGGAGAGGGAGAGGGTGAGATGTTCTTGGGATGACGAAGGGGAGGGATGGATGGATCGATGGATTGATAGGCGTCAGGTAGAACCAGACGGTTGGGGGTGGGGATGCGATTGTGACAAGACAAGCGCGAGACAGGACGGAATTCAATCTTGGGAGGGGCGGAAACCAATTGAAAGTCAGGTACGGAGTACCTACCTTACCTTAGCTAAGGTAATTAGGCGGGGACGCAGGTTGATGGTTGCGCATGGCGATGTGCGCCTCAGGGTCAATCAAAAGGTGAACGAGGGCTAAAAGTACGGTACCTTTTATTGAGGTGCTGGCGAAAAGCGAGGGAGAGCGAGTGTGACAGTTTCGGTACCTTTCCCCATCACCGGCCCACCCACCATCCATCGAATTAGACTTGGGGCTGTCTGCCCGGTGTCTGTCTCTGTCTCTGTGTCTCTCTCTCCATCTTCCACGTTCAGCTTCCCCGTCCGGTCCCTCCTCGACGTCCAGGTTCCATTGTCTCAGTGAAGCGCGTGGGCGGTAGCATGCCGGCCACTTGCGCAGCCCACCGAAGCGGGAATGCGCCACAACGCTGCCCTCTATCTCTCCAAGGGGTGTTACCGATACCTACCTCACTCTGATACCCTAACCGTGGACACGGAATGGCGGGCTACGGAAACCATGGTAGAGACGACATGTGGATTTGCTACCCGTCTATTTGTTTCGTTGGTTCAGGCACTGTCTGTTCCCAAGCGTTTGGCCGAAACCTGGAGTGACCAGGCCATCTTGATCCTCACTTTTGCTTGGGGACGCCACTGCTGGATTGTATGACTGAGAATCGAGTTCTTGCAGTCAGATAATCAGGCAGAACCCTTTGATTCTAGGTCTTGAAATGCCTTACCTTGGTAATGCTCCTGCTGCTTGCATTACTGCCCTTCATCGTTCAGGTCGACTGCAACTTCCTTCCCCGCTCCACGGCACCTCATGTACCTTAGCAATCATGCCCCGCTCTGTTATGTAGGGCTTTCGACAGACAGAAGGAACGCCCACGTCTGTGAGTGGTTGGCAGCTCAATATCCACAGGCGCACTCGCTCGTAGGGCGGAGTGGGGGCCGAGAGCGAACCAGATGAGAGGGTACCTAAGAGTATCACCCATCTTGGCCGGAAATTGAAGTATCGTCTTAATTCTTCCACTTCCGCGAGGCGTTCTTGTTTGGCGTCGTTGGGCGCATTTTCTCAGCCCCAGCCCGCAGGGCAGTTTTGTCTCCCACTTGCAATACCTACGACACCCGACCGTCCTCGACCTCAGACCTCAGACCTCGGTGTTCACCCACCTCCCCCGTCTTACGCTGCCGCGGCATGGACAAGGGTTCAATGCATCCATCCCACCTCTTGTCTGCCATTTGGCATCCCACCACCTCTCGTCGCACAGGTGCAAGCTAAGCTTACCGTGCTCCCGTCCTGCCCTCCTCCACTCAGGTGGCATTCTGCCGTCACCGTCACCGTCCCGTCGCCGCACCTCACGGCAGTGGCTGGGTTCCTGTCTCTGGGCTTGATGTTGCTAGAAGATCAGAAACCCCTCAAGCTAGGGACGACAACCGACCATCGATAACCCCTTGGGTCAGCCTGTGTTCACCGAGAAGGCAGATTTCCTCTTCCGGCGCTAGCTCCGGATCGTCCCTCGCACATTCTCTCTCGCCGCTCAACACATGGTGCCGACCAAAAGGTGAAAACCTTGAACATCGTTCGTCATACTTGCCGACTTGCAGACGCTTGATGTCATCCGACGGCATGTGCCCGTCGTTGAGAAGTTGCATGTCACAGGAATGTACAAATATGTGCTAGGCAGCAGTACCCAAGCAGAATATCGCAAATATTGAGAATTGGTTCCGTTTAAGGATCGCCCGTCCATTTGGCAGCAGAAACGCTCTCACCTCGGCTGCCATATTGATCTAACATTCAAGGATCCAAAAAACCGAATTTACCTATTATCCGCTATGCATCGGGTACTGGGAAATGCGGCATTGGCCAGTGGGGCTTAGCACCTTACGGTAGTGCACAGCCGCAGCCGCCGTGATGGAACTCGGATATTTCAGTCGAGTCGGGGATACTGGGCGAAGCGCTGGCGGTGCACCTCGCCGACCGCCGCTCCAAACCAGCGGCATCAGGGTTGCCCAGCGCCACAAACATCTCCGACCCGTCCGTCCAAGTCGGCGACGCCTCACGCTTCCCCATGGCCCATGCAAATACGGAGTACCTATCCGTACCAGCATTCCGATGCTCGCTCGTCGACATGCGCCTCCATACCTTATCTGCGGCTGTCGCAGATCTTGACATGTTTATCTGTTTTCGCTCTGAAAGTGCCACCCGAAGAGCATCCCCATTCCACTTCATCCGCGAATAACGGGCAGATTTATGCCGAGTGACCATTAAACGCGAGCTCCTAGCGGCTGCTATTCAGCAACGGGGCATGTTCAACCGTGAAATAGACGCAGCAAGGAGATGCGTTGGTTGCGCCACAGCGCCGACTACGGAAAGCGTTCGGTGAATTAACCTTGAATATACGCCTGGAAGCATAAATGCCAGCTCAGTTCAACGGTCAAGGCTTGAGGCAGAATGTCTGTCAGGGTTTCTAAATCCTCAAGGCCTCTCGAGATCTTGACGAGAGTACTATGAGAAGCATGATATACAGTAGATCCAAACGAGCAAGAATTCCCACGCAGACATAGACAGCTACCTAGGCGGCGGAGAGAAAAGATTTTGGGACTTGATCTTGGGGTTCTAGGTCGGCTTATCTAATCTAGGCACCTGATCCACCTCAGCCATTAAGGTATCCTAGCCAGGGCGGAGATCACCTGCCCAGAAACTCTACTACGGGCACCTTGGTCATTCTGCGAAGCGCGGAATCCATCTACTTCGGATCTGGGGATGGAACCATTCCAGCCCTGAATTCCGCCATTCATGACCTGTATGTTCGCTCCCCTGTCGCACTGGCTTCATTTCCTTTGTGGTGAAGCTGTTATCACCCAGTCGCAAATCCAACACGGCTCCTCAAGACTAAATGTCTAACTTGGAATTCTCAACATTAGCGATACAGTGAAAAGAGCCTCTCAACTGCTCGTTATCACAATGTTCCAGGTTCGTTATTCTCGTCTGTAAACAAGGCGCTTTCTGCAGCGCCACACCCGTGGTCGTTGGAGGTCCCCCCAACTCTCAAACGGGATACCATGGCTTACCATGGCTTCACATCCTCATAGCCAAACCCCCAAGACCACCTTCACCTGCGCCTACACCGGGCCCGGTCAGTCATTCTGACCGCCGAGGAGTGAGTCTTCACCTTTATCCATTCCCTCATACTCGCCCATCTTCCCTCATCAAGCCGAACCAAGATTGACGACTCCCTCTCTCACCCCCCAAAAAAGACTCGTCGAGATCCGCGCCGCCCAACGCACCTTTGAAGGCGCCTACATGCGCACCGCCCTCTCGCAATTCTCCTTTGCCCTCATCATCCTCAAAATCTTCACGTCAGAGTTCTACGCCATTGGTGCCCTCTTCGCCGTCTACGGCGCCGCCATCATGCTCGTCGCCATCTTTCGCCGCCACGAGGGCAACCGCCAGTTCTTCACCTCCCCGAAACAGGACGAAGGCAGCGGCGCCGTCACGGGCGTCGTCCGCAAGTTCCGCACCAGCGGCAACAGCGTCGCGCTGCTCACCGTGCTCAGCCTGGCTGCGTATATCACGCTTTTGGTGCTTACTTGGCAGCTTGTGCAGTGAGGAGGAGAGCGGATCGGGCGGCGGTCTGGGCTCCAGTTTGTGACATGAGGGATGGGGCAGAGCGGATGAATGTGTGCGAGTGGATGTGGCCTGGTTGGTTTCTCTGACTATACTATAAACAAGGCCGTGCCGACGTCTCTTGTTTGCATAGGACCTGGAAACTTCTCTCTCCAACTCTACCCAGATCAACCCATCGAGACATTCTAGGGCAAAGCCGGGGGCAAGGGCCTCGCATACAATCCCTCCCCCCTAAGCCCAAGTATCGAAAGTCAGCGCCAAGTCAGGCAAGCGATGGTTGAAGCAGCACCAAAGACTACGGGCGTCAGCAGCACCAAAATATCGTGACCACCAATGGCACCAGCAACAGGGGGTCGGGACACCGACTCATCAGAAAGAATCCAGGTCAAAAATTTGGTTTATCAACACGCTTGTGCAGCCTGAACCTTCCCAAGAAATAAATATTTGTCTACGCCGCCGAGGGGTGAAAGGACCCAAGAGTCAGGACCCTGAATGAAGGGTAGACAGGGGCATGTTGTCGGGATAATATCTGGCCAGAGTTCCCTCTATCGTTGGAGACAACCCTCATCTATCAGAGCTAGTATTTATGTTTAAAACCAAGAACACCTTGTTGAACTGAAAAGTCGAGTGATGCAGATACGTCTCCTTGATTGTATCCGTCGAAGCCGGCGAGGCTGGGCAGCGAGAGCCCGTCGGTCTGATTTTGGACACACTCCATGCCCGAAACGAGCGGCTCTCTGATCGATACCTACTCTCCATCAGCTTCTCAGAGACAGCCTCACATCAATTTATGACTCGAGATATACACCAGAGACAGATTCGTAAACGAATTCATCAGGGGACCGCCATCTCTCGGGGTAGAGGGCAACGTGTAACAAGCCCCTCTCATCACCTAGTGCACCCACTTCAAAGGACGTTGGGATCTGGTTTGTTTCCTGTAAAGATTTGAAAAAAGTTTGACGGGTCTTAAATTAAGCCATATTTTTAAGACCGAGGTCATAAACACAGAAGGAATGCGGACTGCTTGAAAATCTGAAATAAAATCGCTTGTAGCTTCAGGTAAAGTACGAGCAGCCGTGCAAGAAGGAGTTCTATGTAATCATGTGACGCCTCTCAAAGAAAGAAAGGACAAATGGAAGGGGAAAAACAACAAGAAGAGGTGTAGGATAGCTGACTAATTTGATACCGTGAATAGAAGGAGTTCGAAGGGAATAAAGATGGGGGAATGAAAAGGAAAATGGTAAAAGTAGGAACAACAGGTAGGTGTCATGGTGACGCCGATGGTATAAAATGCGTATGTCTCAAGTCCGCGAATGCGATCTCCCCTTTTGCTTTTGAATCCGTGCTTCCACGCCTCCTGACTTCCCGTCTCTGACTTCCTGCGGCTCCTCGATGATGGCTAATGAAGTATGTATCAAAGAAAGTCCCCTTGACCCTTGCTGCCAGCCGTCCCCGCTGCTGCGGGTTGCCGCGCCCGGCCCGAACGTCTCAAGGTGCGTTCCCGAGACAAAATGACCTCGTATTCCTCCTAGGCTCCCTCCCTCCCCCGCTTGTTCGGCGTCGGCCATGCGCCTTGCGCTCGGGGCCCCGCCACATTCTTCCCGCGATATGTTTGTACTCTAAATCTGACGTCTTTCAGTGACGCTCATCATCCCTTGAACCGTGGATCACCGACATGGCGTTCCGTCCGAGCCCGGTGTCGCGGACATCAGCATACCGGATGCCTCATGCTCCTTGTTGAAATTTGGGTATATGGTTTGCTGTTGTCTTCAAAATCCTTCAAACTCCCTTTGACTGTTTCGTTCGTGTCTCGCTCTGAGAATCAGTACCGTTTTCGAATGATTGCGCCGTTCCAATGCCGTTTCTGATGGATCGAAAAGATGACTCCTTTCAAGCGATGCAGAGGTATCTTTTGGCATCCACTTTCCCGCTTTTCATGAGATTCAGATACTCTCCTAGCCTCTCTATCCTCAGGTTTACCGAGAGCATCTGACTTGTTTCTTGAGTCTAGACTCCGCCTTATCCCCTTCACGAGCCATGTCCACTTCCATGATATTATGATGTGGAAAAAGGAAATGCGGCATGTTGGTCTGCTTTCCAGGAAATTGACGTTGCCGGTGCCAAATAGTCGCTCCAGGAAGTGCCTAGTTTTCATCATGAGTCCACGTGTCATATCCCTCAGCCGGTCTGGAGTAGGCGTAGGGGGATTGCGTCTGCGGCTGCTGCTGCGGCCAAGTACCGTAATCTGAAGGCGGATTCGCACCTACAGACAGGGAAGTAGTGTGAGGATCCATGGTTGGGAAATTCGTCGCAATCTGGTTCGGGTACATGTCTGTAGATATCACCGTCAAAGATCTTTGATCAAACTGCCGGCTCGACTGTGGCATCGTGGGGTACTGCGCAGGTATTTGTGTGCCTCTGGGGTAGGCCATGGAGCTCCCTATTGCGAAAGAAGAATATCCCATGTTGCTGTGAGTATTGGCATCCACGTTGCTCCAGCTGGCTGACGGTGGTGCTTGAGAAGTATACGGCGAGAATGACGGAGTAATCGGGGACTGTTCAGCGTAAGACTTCCATGTTTCCTCATGGTCGTTTGACTTTGTCGTGGAGCTGGGACTAACATCTGGGGACATCCAGTTCGTGATTTGGGGGTTCGCAAAATCGTAGGGTCCAGAAGACGCTGTAGTACTCGAAACAGCCACTATTCGCCTATTAGCAATTCGGCATCTCTCCACAAAGTGTGTAAACTGACCTGTGGTGTCTTGGCCAACATTTTCACCCGTAGATGGCTGCATAGTTGTCGGTAGTACGTTTTGCGACGAGGGCAGGACTCCTCCTTGATGGTACTGATGTTGCTGGGATCCCTCTGGGGGTTGCCCAGGAAGTATGACGGGAGAAGATGACGTGGAAGCGGTCTTGGACCCAACGGTAGGTCTCGGTTGTGGTTTGGGCCGCGGCTCAGTTGCTTGAGACGGCGGCTGGTCTACAGGATAGAAGCTACACTCCTTCTTCAACCTGATGCAGTTGGTACATCGCCCATCGCCTAGTACCTGTGACATTATGCACCGGATTTTCCGTCTACGACAATGTCCTTGACGTTGCTTTAGTCAGCGCAAATCCAAAAGAACCCGAGCGGATGGAGGTCAGCCACTTACCACAAGCTACCGAGGTCCGGTGATAGCCCAGCTTGTTTCGCTTCTTGTCCCCAGCTTGGCCAGACTGACTTGAATCAGAGACGTTGGCCTGTCGCAGTCTGACATTAGGGCTTGAACATGGAGCGATGCAATTTTTGACTCGCCTGTAAGTAGGATTCTCCACGCTCCTGAACTGTCGGATCGTGGCTTCTCTGGTCCATCGATGGTTGGCCTGGGCCTGGCGCGCCGTAGTCGGGCGCGAATCCAGACTGGGGCACCTCCATGTCGGAACTGAGGGGAAGTAACGGCGGGGGATACGGGTAAGACATAATCGAGCCCTATGCCCCCAAATGTTGGTAACGCTGCAGAGTCGAATGTTTCTCAGATGACAAGGTCTATGTAGGGGTTATAGACCTATGCTATTGTGCAACAAGCGGGCCTTGATAGGTCTTCGGACAGCGAATCGTCACAGGAAGGAGATGAAGGAATGTGACCCAAGCTGTTGTTCCCTCACGTTCGGCAAGACAAACTTGGTGTCTAGGCGCAATGTTGGTCGAGGCTTGCCGATGTTCGTGCGGAATCAAGACCTCGGAGGAGCACCCGACGGAGATGCAGTGTGTCTCGATGTTTGCCAAAGTGAACTTTATGGAGACGTTAACGAGTGGACCGCCCTAACGATGGGTCAAGTTTTCCTGTCGATGTAGTGTTTTTGCAGTAAAGCGTGGTTATGGCCGATGCGGACGCGGCACAAAGCGAAGCCAGGGACGGACCAATCGAGATGAGTTGAGCCCTTCAGCTAAGATGCGAGTGCTGTAATGGCTAGGATAGTGTACCAAAGTCGGGAAGCTTTTTGAATGGACTGCCGTCAAAATTGGGTCGGCTCCCCAAGTTATTCCTGTTCCCGTGGGCTGATGATTACCACCCAACTTTGGGTAGGAGGGGGGATCCCAACAAACAGCAACCACAGACAGCGTTTTGTCGAGTCTTGTGTGATGGGATGCGTGTGATGTAGCCGCGGTAGTTACATACAGGGTATATTGGGTCGGCCAACGTTGATGCCCAGAATGTGGGCGTGGAGGGAGAAAGAAGGTATCGAGCCTAAGACTGAGACCAAAACGTGGTCAGAGAAAATATTCAACCCTAAGTACAGTTTGGTTTGAGGGAAAGCCAACCACGAAGGAGGAAAGAACGCACGAAGGAGAGATGACGAAAACATCCGAGAAAAGAAAAGAAAGGCACGTACCTTGCCTGTTGCGGGCTGCTGGACGACAGCGACTTACTTTCCTGCTTCTCTGGCGAACTAGGACTACGAAGGCAAATAGGGTGTCAACGGATTCACTGTCTTGGGCATCCAGGTATTTTTGGCGTAGCGCGGTCAATGGGGCATCGATGGTGTGTACCTGATCTTTGGGAATGGTCGTCAAGAGGAAAGCCGCCAATCCAATGGGCCTGCAAGACCTGGATGGCAAACACCTCCCGAATTCGAGAAGCCTTGCCTTGGCTGTAGATTTCCTTCACCCCTGGTAACCCAATTTTGAGTTCTTTGGGAGCTGGAAAGTCTGGAGAGTGTGAACCAGGGTTCTGATTAACTGGTAGTCGGTCAGAACGGAGGTGCGAGACCCCGACCAAGAAGACGATCGAGGAGCAGAAGGATAGAAAGAATAGAAGCCAAAGTAAACTTTCGAGCACCAGGGAGCCACTCAGTGATGACAAAGAAGGGGGAAGAACTTTAATGTTTTACATACCTTGACGTGTGGCTGCATCCAAGGAGTGTCAAACTAGTATCACGCAGCTAGAACGTTGTGTTCGAATGCGAATGGACCGCGGCAGATGGCTGTACCTTTCCAGCGCCACCCGATGAAAATCTCGGCTTACTAGTTGAATGAATGCGCTAGCAAGAACGTTTTGAATGATTGATGGACGTTTGATGACAACTGTACGTGGGGGCCAGGTAGCTTGTCTCAGACAACAGACATGATGTTTTCCATTCGCTGGTTTGTTTACCGCTTCTTAGATTCGTTCGACGGTAAGGTAGGCTCTTCGAGGCTGGTACGAAGATGCCAGGCCACGGGACGGAGACTTTAAGACTTTTGAGCAGCCGTCGACAAAGTGCGATAAGTTGCAAAGACTTGAGGCTTGAGTGGCCCCAGTGTTGAGCTGGGTTGGTTGATGTGGCGGGTTTAAAGGCAAGGTTTGTTGTAGCGGTTCCAGTGGCGAGGGCTCACTGGAATCCTTCGGTCATTGGAGGAAGCCGGTGTGAGGATTTTCGAAAGAGTCCAGTCTCGTAGGGATGCAGAGCTGGTCAGATGCGGAAGCATTGGACCCTGAAAACTTGGTTCTGGTCCCCTCCTGCTTCGGTCCACTCTGACATCGAATGATGATGCTCGCCCCTCTGCTTGCGTCTGCCGTGTGAGGATGGAAGGGAGGTATAAATGAGGTCTCACCCAGAGAGGTTGAACCAAACTCTTAATGAAGAGAAGTGATTCAATAATGACCAGGGAAGAGGAATAAGGAAGTGCGGCGGGACGGCATGCAGTCAGTTGGAAGTGAGGAAATCAGAGACACAGTCAAAGCCAGAGATCAGGCTGTTCTAATGACCCCAGAGTCTAGGCGAAAATGGAGAGTAAAGATGAGCAAATGGGCATTTGGATTCCGAAAAAGGGATCCTGAAACCGCTTCTCGATGAGCGCTTGCCCAGAATAGTCTTTGTCCTTCTTCCCTTACCTTTCTGTGACGACCCTATACCACTGCTCGTGTACCCAGGTAGTTATTCGACTTGATAAGCGCCGGGTAGTCTGGACACCCTAGAATCAGCAGATACTTTGCTTCTGATCTTCCCTCGACAGTCCCTGGCACGATCCCTCGTCCGTGATGCGCACCAGACAGTCTCCCAAGCCAGATGGTGACCCTACAGAGGATATTGAGCAGCAAGCGCTGGGTACCCGGCGTCTCATCTAAGGCAGCGCAGCTGTCGATTGGCTGGTTGTCGTCACACTTCATCTCACCCCATCTCATGTCCCATGCTCATCTTGCGAGCTCTTGGAGGGTGCTTGAATTGACCGGGGGCCACACGTCTTCGAGTTGCCTCCAACCCCTGCCCCATCACGACGACGGGGATCCAGGAAGTGTGGGAGGGTGGGTATGAAAAGCCTCGGCAGCCAGGGTGTGTTGGAGGGGTATGCAACTCCAGATGACAAGACAGAAGGCCAGATGCCATTCTCGAATTTGTTGCCGAAAATCAGGCACAGGAAGCACGCGGTCGAGAACTTCCGGAGACTGATATTGGTGGACGCTGAATTCGAACGAGTACATTCGTCAAAGGGAAGTGAGCCGCTGCTGAGAGTGGGGGGGGGGAGGGGGGGAATGCAAAGCCGGGCGAAAATTGTTTGCTGGACCGTCTTACCGGCTCTGCTGCCAATGTTGACCACGATACTCGTCCCGCCACGGGCGACAAGAGACCCATGGTCCTGAGTCCTGACTCTCCTCGTCAGGGCCATTCAACGGATACCGCGTCCGCATGTAACCCCTGTTTGAGCCTGTCAGTTGTGCGGATCCTGGTGAAAATAACGTCCAAGCACCGGCAGACTTGGGACGAAAGATGTGGGAGCTGTCCCGCTACTTCCCTGCTCGCGCCATTGCGTCAAAGATAATCTTTAACCTTTGCCACCGGCTGCCGTTGTTCGCGAACTCCTCCACCTTGGAGTTTACAAGAAAGCTTAGTGCGTCCGGACAGGTGTCGGGCCTATCACACAGTAGGTAATGCGAGTGTGTGTCTGGTCAGAACGGTGCTACCAGGCTGTACTGTCTCGCTTTCGTATTGACGCCGCGGAAATTCCGCCGTCAACGCTAGGCCATCAGCGTGGGAAGTTGGTTTCGACTGTGCGATACTCTGGGCGGTCTACATTTCCTGACCAGACTGCCTGCTAGCATCGCTGAGGGCTTCAAAGTGCGGGCGCTTCCGCCACACATTAATTAGAGGCTATATGTGACTCAGTATCGTCTTGCCAGCGACAATGCTAGTCAGACTGTGCCTACCTAGTTGAGGAAAGACGGATTGCCGATTGCGGGTTGCAACCTCACCACGTTCGTGGCCCTTGCGTCTCTAGAAGCTAGGCCCGTGACCTCCGTTGCCATTGTCAGAAATCCCAAGAAAGTCAAAAAGCTGTTGTTATACGTAAGGTGTTGCTGATTGTGATTCAGGGGCGAGTCGCCAGACGCGATGAGAAACCAGTGGTCTGGACCATTAGACCCAGAAAGGCGCAGATGGCAATGTGTTGCGCCCATCATTGATGGGTTGAACGACCCTTTCATCTCGCTTTTGCTCTTCATGCATGCCTTGACTTTGTCGCCTCTGCAGCAGTCGAAAAGGTTGCAGGACTAGCGGGCCGCGGCGACACAGCTGCCGAGCTGTTCCAGCTGCATGGGACGTGCCTGAACCATTCCATGCCTTCAAACGGACGCAAAAGTGCTCGCCGCATCATCCGATCAAGCGACGTTGCGCAACTGCGTGTAAGGCGGCACAGTAAAGCAGAGCCTCGAACGACAACCACTGCCACAAACCTGGCTCGTTGTTGGCGTGCGAGGAGGGTTTTTCATGCTCGTTACAGCATATCATGCGGGCCCGACTCGGACAATGGATGTGACAGCAGCATCATCATCATCATCAACAACAACAACTCTATGTATGATTGGAGGTTTCGCGATGGCGAAGCGCCTGTGAGCGGGCCGCGGGTCTGCACATTTCTTTTGATCTGCCGCTGAACAGGCCGTGTACAATCAATCAATATTGGCTTGTCTATAGATCAGCCAACGAACTCACTCCCCGGGTGATTTGGCTTCATCTGACAGTTGGGACGAACTAGAGCCGACGGTGGAGGATGATCAAAGAATATGTTGCCCAAAGATTCTGTCTTCGCTTCCGCTTTCACTTGCAGAAGTCGATCTGGCATGATGCGCGACTGGGAGATGCCATCAAGAAAGCTGTCGCACTCGACCACGGTCTTCCCGAATTGTATTGTCGTGTTCCGCTGCACCCCGCATTTCTCTAGTTATTGTCGTTAGCCCTGTCGCCGCAAGTCTCGGAGCATCGTCCCTTGAAAACCTTGCCGATCAAACCTGATCTGAATCATCCCAACGTCTTCGGGACTGACAGACATCAGACAACCGAGTCTCCTGGCACCCTGAGCAGCTCAAGGGGAGGGAGAAAAAGCCCGGCCCGTTGTGTTGTTATTTTCTTCTTCTCCAACAAGCTCCAACAAGCTCCCTCCCTCCGCGAAGGAAGGTC